TAAACATCTCTCAAGGTAAAAATAAAGAGTACCTCATCCTTATGACCAGACAATGCCTTTGCCAAGGCATTCACTTCAACAACCTTTTGAGCAGCAAATGCGAGCCATGACTTAATTTCTTTGTCCAGCTTAGGCTCATTAATTAGATCAACAGCAGTGTGGAGAAGCGAGCAGGAGGTTGAGACGACGAGCTTGTCTGCAAAGCAGAATAGTGAAAAGAGTGAAATTTCCGCAGCAACAGACTACATATTCGTGTAACATAACCCTGGAACAATGATACCTTTTCCAACGACGCCCTCAAGGGACTGCAAGACGCTGAGAGATGAAGCAACATCATTGGCCCAGATGTTCTTTCCATCAACCACACCAGCGAAGAGGTATTTGCCAGAAGGGAATCCACCCTTGATCAAATCAAGAGTCTTAGTTCCACGAACCAAATCAAAGCCAAAGGCAGTAAGACCCTTCAGGGCAGTGAGAGTTTTAAATTCCTCAGCAGGAACATCAGCAAAGTAGGTCGCAACGAGGACATTCACACCAGACAGTGTTGATTCTAGCTCAGAGTAGGCCTTAGTGAATACTTGCAACTCATTATACTCAAGATCCTTGACAAGAGTGGGCTCATCAAACTGAATCCACGAAGCACCAGCTGCCTTTAACTCACAGACAACTTCCCTGCACATATATATTTCTATTATAGTGGCAAATTAAATGAGTCGCATGAACAAGTATTAAGAAAAATTTTTATTTTCTTACTTATAGATTGGAAGGATTTTGTCAAGAAGGGAGNAATTAAATGAGTCGCATGAACAAGTATTAAGAAAAATTTTTATTTTCTTACTTATAGATTGGAAGGATTTTGTCAAGAAGGGAGAGTAGAGAAAAAGATTTATCAACACCCTTTGCAGGTTTAGATAGCAATAAGTAGCTGACAGGTCCAACAAGGACTGGAACGGTGTCGACTCCAAGCTGCATGAGAGAAAGAGTCAAGATCTTAGTTATATGTTGGTAAGAAAAGAGAATAGGAAAGATGAAAAAGTGGTTGGACGAGATTTCCTTCTAACTCATCAAAATCAATCCCTCCAAAATTGGAAGGAAAGTAGATAAAAAATTAATTATTTGTATTGAAATGTATCTTATTTGTTTAATAGTCAGAATCCGTAGTTGAAGACACGATAAAATATAAGATTGTAGCGTTCAAAAAATTGATCCCACTATACTAAATTTAAAATTAATTTCTTTATTTACATCATTTAAAATTAATTTCTACCTATTATTTTATTAAAAATAGCATCAATTTTTTTTTAAAATGCATAATTCGATAAATAATGTATAAAATAAAAGTTGTGTTAAATTACAAATTAACTAAATATTCAATGATTAAACATATGATATAATTAAGTGATGTGATATTTTTTGAGAGGAAAATATAGGAGATAAATATTCAACTTACTAGTTAATTTATTATATAAATATATCATTTGATATATTCATATATTATGTATATATTAATTTCATATATAAAAATAATGATAAAATATGTATTTATATTTTTTTAAAAAATTAAAAAAATATTTTTTTCATCTTATCAAACATTAAAGAAAAAAAATTATATTTATTTTATATCCATTTTATCAAATATAAAGAAAATAAAATATATTATTTTTTATTTTTTTTCTTAAAAGATAAAAAATGTAACGCTCATATTTCTCGACATTTCCACCTCACTTCCGCCACACGAAACATTATTGAATTATCTCCCTCAAAATTAACTCTGACCCCTTCCTCACATAATTTGCTTGGAGTCTCGTATGTACTAGTCTTTCAACACGTACGACGGTGGATTAAGACTCGCACTGGCCTTAGTTTCTTAATTTACCCAAAATTTGGTCGCCCAAGTTGGCAGGGCGGGCCAACCAAATATAAGTTGACATGTGGAATACATTTGGTTGTGCCACGTGTTACAAGTTCCTTCACTTATAAAGTATGGAAGGAACGTGGACCTGGATGGCAACAGCAAAAGGCTCATTATCCACCACATAAAAGAGAGGCCAATAAGAACCGTTAGATTTTCGTGATCCAACGGCTGTGGTTACATGAGACACGGAAACCAAAACTACACTATTTAGTAGAAGNGTGATCCAACGGCTGTGGTTACATGAGACACGGAAACCAAAACTACACTATTTAGTAGAAGTAACAGCTTTTATAAAGAGGTACGAATTGACACGACGTCGTCGTCCAAATATTGGTGGACTACAAAAAACTCATACTTAGCACCACAAATTTCACTGCGGGGCCACCAAGCGTTTAAAATTCCACGATTACTCGCCTTTACTGCAAAATATTCCAATTAATCGGCGCTGAGCAAGTTCGGATTTTTTATTATTATCTAGTAAAATAGTGTTCTTTTAACTAAATTTTGAGATTAAATTTATTGATATATCTATAGATGTATATAAAATAATTATTTTTTGGAAGAGAGAATTTGAGAAACATTCCCTCACTTTTTTTAATTTTTTAAACACTTATTTAATTAGTTACAAAGTAAAAATCAACACTTGACTAATATAAACACATTTTATCAATTAATTACCCCTCAATAAATTTATTTAAAAAAATTAAATTTCAATTAAGTATAATTTTTAGTTATTCTTTAAAATATCTATGGTATGTGTTGAAAGAAAGAGGAAATTTGAAGGGCTGAAATGAATGAGCCAGGGTAAGACAGATTTATGAATTTTGTACATCACACGCTGCGATCGTTAATTCATGTGTGTGTGTATATCTATATAATAAAATATATAGTAATTTGAATTTTTATTTCCTACATGTTTTTCCCTTAAAAATATCACATCACTCATTTTTATCATATGTTTAATCATTTATATATTTTTCTCTTAAAAATATCACATCACTCATTTCTATCATATATTTAATTATTTAATATTTAATTAATATAATTTTTATTTTAAACATTATTCATATAAGATAATATACACATGTTAAAAAAATTTAATATAGTGAAATTAATTTTTTGGACGCTTGAATTTTATATTTTATTGTGCCTTCAGACACGAATTATGACTAATATATATATATATATATATATATATATATATTGACATCCTTACACCCACTAAAATGAGTACCTAAAAAAATGTAATTTATGTGACTTTGTGTTGATGTGCCACATTACTTGAATTACACAGTTTAATCTTAAAATCTTTTTTGAAGACTCGAGCTAAGAGTCGTTAGTCTAAATAATTTGATAAATATGAACTTAAGTTTTACTCTTTAGTTGAAACAATGTCTCTCTTCAACTTTTACAAAGTGTGTTTGGAGAGTGATCTTAAAAAACAATCCTTCGAAAGTAGAACTGATAATTTTGTTTAAATTTTAGTATGTTAAGAGATCAAAATTAAATAAAGGTGAAATATATTAAAATTCAATTTTAATTAATTTATTTGAGTTGGTTTATTTTTTAATCAAGTTTATTTATGTTTAGCAATTTCTTTATAAATTATAAAAATAAAATCCATCAAATATTTTTGTATCTTTTAAAATCCAATCCGTTTCATAAGTTTTGTTTATAAGTGCGCGATTAATTGACGCCACCAGCTCAATTGTACGCACACACATACTGCGCCACCCGCCCGCGCGAACCTGCTCTCTCTCTCTCTCTCTCTGTCTCTCTCCGTCTCCGTATCCGTATGTATGATTCACCACTACAGCCATGAATTCGAGCTCTTCAAATTCTCAATCCATGGCTACCTCAACAACAACTGATGGAAAGAAAGTACGGAAGCCCTACACAATAACTAAGTCCAGAGAGAGCTGGACCGAAGAAGAGCACGACAAGTTCATCGAAGCTCTCCAACTGTTAAGTTTTCCTTGTTTCTCTCATCTCTCTTCGATTTCTTGTTCTCAGTACGTCAGTTAGACGTATTGATCATCGTTGTCTCTGTACCCTCAATTCTGTTCCATTTTATGTTTTCGTGACTTCGAATCGAAGAAAACTTTTTGCATCTTTTGCTTATTCACAGATGTTAGTGTGGAATGGGAACCACTATCTGAAGCTTGGTTGTCTTGCATTTCTTCTGTGTTATTCAGGTTTGACCGTGACTGGAAGAAAATTGAGGATTTTGTTGGTTCAAAAACAGTTATTCAGGTGCTTAAAAGTCTTCTGTTTTACTTCTTACTTACAATTACTTGCATTTGTTCAAGTTTGAGATTATTATTTTATATGAAGTTGTGGATTAAATTGACAACTTTCTCCGTAAGCTGGACAACCAGTGATTGCAATTTTTGTTTTTGTTTCGCATATATCTCTCTTATTGCCTGTATTTTTGTGTTTTTACCATGGTTTTTATACTTTTCTACTCTGTGGAGTAATAAGAGTCCATAGCAATTCTGAAAAATTCCCAATATAGCTGATTTTATGGCATGCAATGAAAAATATTCTTGTACTTTAGTAGTCTTTTGAACTTTGGACTTTTATTGATGGAATTTGACCCAAACTCTCTAATTGAAATGAAGAAGTGTTTATTGGGTAATCAATGTAAGAATCCTATATGGAATAGGCTTATAGTGGATGAGTTTTAATATATCATGAATAGATATATTATACATGTGATAAGAAACATAAAGATCAAGTTGTGTCCACATATGTTTAAGTTACAATATTTTATTCGTATAAATAGGGATGTGTATTATGTAATTAGTTATCAGATGACCAGTTTTTCAGTGAATAATGTATCATGTAGGTTTATGGTCTGTGGATGTAGGTATGGTATACCAAGATGAGTATGTTGTATCGAACCACGTTATATATTTGTGTCATATTTTTGTTATTTTTCTATTTTTGAATTTCTATATTCTAACAAGTATTATTTGTGTTAATTATTCGTTATGCAAAACTAACAAGTGGTATTAGAGCTATACTCCAATAGTTATTGTGTGCAATTTCAGGTTTATGCATGCAAGAAATTAAAAAGTATTGTCTTACAATTTTGGATCATCAATTTGTTGGATTAAGCTATAGCCAATGGGCTTTTGTTCTGTGGTGGTAGCCTCAAAATTCATAGGGACTTCCTGAACAAGGCTTCCCCGGTGGATGGGCGACTATGTTTTCTGATTAAGAAATGCTGCACTGTGGTTGGACACATCATGCTTATGTAATTATACAATCCGAGATTGTGTGATTCTTAGTTGGTTAACTTTTTGCCAAGAATCAGCATATGATTAAATGATTTCACATTGAGTTTAGTCCACTCAAGTACTTGGTTGTAAAACTCCTCGAGTCGTTAAAGGTTCNGATTAAATGATTTCACGTTGAGTTTAGTCCACTCAAGTACTTGGTTGTAAAACTCCTCGAGTCGTTAAAGGTTCAATGATATTGTCTGTCCCTTAATAATATTGTCTTTCGTTTTCTCTTTTTTCTTCTTGCTGAGCCTTTTGTCACTGCTAACATTCATCTGGTAGCTTCTCGATTTTCCAATTTCGACATTTGATATGGTTTATTNTCAATGATATTGTCTGTCCCTTAATAATATTGTCTTTCGTTTTCTCTTTTTTCTTCTTGCTGAGCCTTTTGTCACTGCTAACATTCATCTGGTAGCTTCTCGATTTTCCAATTTCGACATTTGATATGGTTTATTGGTGCAATTTGTCCTTGCATAATTTTTACATTTATTTGTCTTATATTTTCATTGCAGATTCGTAGTCATGCCCAAAAATACTTTCTGAAGGTCCAAAAGAATGGAACAACAGCACATGTGCCACCACCTCGTCCAAAACGCAAAGCTGTTCATCCTTACCCTCAAAAGGCCCCCAAAAATGGTTTGTTCCTAGAAGGATAAAAGATAGTGTATCTGCCATTGGATTTCAAATGCATTCTTATCATACTAATATGCTATTTTTTGTAAAAAAATTCTGGCAGTTTTGGTGCCATTGCAAGCCTCCATGGCTTTTCCTTCTTCCTTGAATTATCTTGCACCTGGATATTCTCCATGGGATGATGCTTCCATGTTTATAAACACTCCACCAAGTGGAATCATGCCTTCCCAAGGCGAATACAGTCTTCATGGAGTTGAAGGCATGCTTGAATTCTTACAATGTTCTATTCTTGCATGTTATATGTATAAAATATTATAAGAATTTTTTATCAAGGGAACTTTTTCACACTTATTATGATGTACAACATTACTGATTCAGCTGATATTGGATCGAAGGGGGCAGCAAAGATTAGTAACAGCAGTATTAGTGGAATTGGAAGCTCATGCAGAACATTACCAAGTTCTGAGTTACTATCAGAAGGGAAACAGTGTTCCATGCTTCATGGTAATCTTCTTCATCAGAATTTTGAAATTTTCTTTATAGGCAGATGATTGGCTTAATTTAGCCACATCATGTTCAAGTTATAGTTGTGCATCTGCTTGTGTGGCAGAACATGCTATCTTCCTTCTGTTTTCTCTATTATATTATGGCCCATATGTACTTGTTGAGAAATTTTGCATCTCAATTCCATTTTAAACTATTTGACTAATTTGTATTTTGTATTAAAGTGTGTATCATAAACCACTATTATATGCATTGCTATTTGTTTTCGTGTTTTGTTTTAAGAGTTTTAGTCTTCGTTTGTCCATAACTCTTGGATTGTAGTGGTGTACCAAGATCACCTAGGTGTCATGTATTCATCATGTTGGATGCTATCATGTTAGTTTGATAGTTTAACCAACTAGAGCTTCCTAGCTTTGATTAATATTATTTTTGTACTCAGATATTGCATTCACATGGGTGATATATGATCTTCACGCATTTGTGCCGTTCCAGTTATAGTGACATTATGATTTTGTATGTGATGAAACGTTGAGTTCTCTTTGTGTATTGGGCTATATCACATGAAAAATTTAGAGAGCATTGTCATTTTCTCATACATGGATCAATAAAAAATCTCTCCTTCCCCTTACCATCCTATGTTATATGGACATGGGGGCATGTGGAGGCAGTTGCGTATCCACATGTTCTGCGGCAGCATGCTATTCTAGATGGAAAAGGAATGAATAACATAGCTTTTATTTACCCTACTTCCAGAATTCAAGAATATAAATGCTCATCTGATATTTCTCTCATGCTTCTTATCTTCGATTGAAAAAGATGAATATATTGGTGGATAGTTGTTTATTTAGTGTGTGTTTTACAGGTATACCAGATTTTTCTGAAGTCTATAGCTTCATTGGGAGCGTCTTCGATCCAGACACTAAAGGCCATATGCAGAAGCTTAAGGAGATGGATCCCATTAATTTTGAAACAGTGAGTTGATAAAACGTTTTCCAAGGTCTACTTGTCAAGCATTTCTGCATATGAAGCCTCAATTTGTATGGTAGGACGTGCCTATAACTGCATTTGATATGAATATTATGATTACTTGGTGATGGAAGCTGTATGCTAGTGGTTTAGCTGGCAAGTATTATATTTGCAGTTGATAGAGTAAAACAACTAATTTCTTATCCATGATGAGGGGGAATGGAAAATGTACTTCGTAGTGCTGCATCAATGAAGTGGGCAAGTGCTTCTGCAGCATTTTGTGGTTGTGTTCCCAATCATGCAATGGTACAACTTTTTCAGTAACCTGGGGGTGCGCCATACTCTGTGACATGGAATGTTGGACAGTTAAAAAAACAGCCTATACAACATGGTTATAGTTAAAATGAGTATGCCAAGATGAAGAAGTTGAAATAAAGAGTGACTTCGTTTAAGACNGTTATAGTTAAAATGAGTATGCCAAGATGAAGAAGTTGAAATAAAGAGTGACTTCATTTAAGACAAGCAATTGCTGCAGTAGAAAACAGAATATGATGTGTCATTTAAGATGGATTAGCACTATGCAATATCTGACTAAAACCAATAGCTGCGTNGCTGCAGTAGAAAACAGAATATGATGTGTCATTTAAGATGGATTAGCACTATGCAATATCTGACTAAAACCAATAGCTGCGTGTGAGGAGTGTTGATTTGAGTTGGGGAAGGAATGATGGGGGGAAAAGGAACCTCATGGCAGTGTCTGACGCAGCTGAAGGTGGTCTTAGGTAGATTTTTGAATGGCAACAGGCAATTTCATCTACCATTAATTAACTTACCGGCAAGAGAAAAAAAGAAAACAAAGATTTGCATCTACTCACATAGTGGTTTCACAAGGCTTTAATCAAGTGTGAACACTATACTAAAAACACAAGCCAGTTATGGTACATGACAATTTTAGAAAGTTATGGAATTGGAGATTATAAAGTTAAACCAACTTTATGGTTATTTTTAAAATTACTCATAAAATCTGGTTAAACTTGGCAAGAAAATTTTGGGATTTTCTCTATTTTTTTCACGTTCCTGCATCTCCTGAGGAAAATATTAAGATGGAAGTCAATATGTTGCCCTTATATGTGGTGTTGACATAGTTGGCTATGTTCAAGTGACTGACGAGGTGGGGAAAATATAAGTTTGGGGGATTGAGTGGCCTTGGTGCTACTTATTTTGAAAAAAGAGTGCTTTATAATAGTATTTTTGACCAGATCACACCAAGGGGATAACTGTCCCAAAACATGTTTGGTTGAAATACTCCAATCCAATCATCTTCTTGAAGCAGCTTGTGTCAATCCATTTGTCTCCTTGATGTGGCTTGTACAAGTGGTATTGTGGAAATTGATTGGGTGCTCTATCCCCTCCTATGGCGAAGTTTTGTAAACTCTACTGTTAAAAGCATTGTGATGGTTGCACAAATTTATGTTTGAGTCCCACATTGATATGCATTGGGAAGATCTGGGCTGTCCAAGGGAGAGCATTGAACCTAAATGAGGATATAATTTTTGGTCTGGAAACGGGCTTGACATTTGGTATTAGAGCCGACTCGGTGTACTGTGATGTGGCTTTGAGGCACTGCAATGCAGGTCCCATGTAGAGGTGTTGGTCCCTGAGGGAGGACGCAAGGGATCTGGATGGTAGAGCTTGTCACCGTTGTGCAATTGTGTTTTGAGTCCCACATCAGGTTTGTACTGGGAAGACCTGCCTTTATATGCCAGAATGGGAAACCCAAATGTGGCTAGTCTGTTTGGGGTGGAACCAGCCCGTGACATGTAGGCTTAGTTGAGCAGACTCATTAGTTAACTGATTGTAACTTGGCTCATTCCTGATTATTGAATTTTGTGACATGGTAGTTGCCAATGTTCAGTACGTGCATGTAGTTATTATATTGATGGCTAACCTGGCCCTATAAGCCATGAAATGAAGCTCTTATGCCTCAAGCAAAGATATGAAATGGAGAGTGGAGTATAGAGCCTTGTCTTCAGTCATACTGAGATTCTGTTGTTTGATCATGAAATTCACATTTAAAACAGTGAATTTTGTAAAACTACTGTTGCCTTGCACTTGGAAAAAAACTAATAGCAAAAGAACTTCTTTCTGGTCCCCTGTATCAATAAGGTTGTGTAATTGGCAACACAATTGCCATGGACTAATGTAATATGAAATTTGGAGATGCATTTTTTTTCTTTGTCCGGTTTTATATAATGGCCAGAAATAACCCCTCAGTCTCTTACCTGAACCGCTAAGCTTTGTCTACAAATTTGTTTTTCTCGATGGGTTTAGCTGGATGGTGAAGTAGTCTCCCACTAGATCAATGTGAATTTTTACTGGCCTACATGTTATTTGAAACATATTATTGGGCATTTCATTTCTTCTTCTTTGGATGCGCAGGTTTTATTGTTAATGGGAAATCTCACGATCAACTTGTCTAGTCCTGATTTTGAGCCAATGGTAAGTACTGTTTTTTTAATAATATTATGACGCATGTTTTTGAGTTAGATGCCTAGCTCTTTCATTCCGAGGATGCATAAATTTCTCTGTTCCTTTTGAGGCCATGTTTATGAATAGAAAAATCATAGTGTTGGGCCTGGCTGAGTTGCAATGTTCATTATGTGTAGCGTTTTATTTGGACCTCTGCAAAATTCGTATGAATTCCCTGCTGTGTTAATATGAACTTTCGTATTTTTTGTGGGAAGTTTCTGAATAGTATATGTATAGTTCTGACCAGGAGGTGATTTTATTGGTTGCTGCAGAGAAACGTTATGTCATCGTACAATATCACCAACAAAACTGTGGGAGGTGCTTCAGGAAATGTTGCCAAGAATCAGAACAACGATCTAACATGTTGAATTTTGGGACTGCACTAATATTTATGTAGTATGTATCTGTCATCAATCTTCAATTTTCTCTTCAGTGTTTCATTTTTTTTCCGGACTTGTACTGTTTTGATTAACTGGGTGACATCTAAATAAATTATCTTGTTCCTTTTGTCAGCATTTTAGGATAGAATCGTGACAGTTCACCCATGCTGTGCAAGTATATAACTTGAAGGATATAACGAGGCGGCCACATCAAGGAGTACCTGAACTTTCCCTCTTTTACATGCCTTTAAGGATCTATATGTCCAGAGGCTCAATGGAATTGTTGCTGTTTCTTCTAGTGATTTTGGTTTTCTAGCAGATGATAAGTTTATCTGTTCGCTTCTTGAATTTGTTTTTCGGTAATTTTTTCTTTTTTTAACGAATCGCTATTTTAAATTGTATGCCATATATTCTGCCAAGGTAGTGTAGCTATCTGAATAACGAGGGCAGATAGACTCACGCCACTGCGAGTAATGTGCATTCCTAATGTTGTTCAGTAATGTGGGTTGTGTTGTACAAAAAGTCGGTTCCTTTTGCTTTGTTTTGTTACTACAAACCGTATGGATAGATATCTGACCACGCCCTTGTGTGCTGTTTGGCTGTGGAAATCTTCCTCAATGCACACACAACAGGCTTGAATGAGCTCTGGTCATCACTCCTCTTCTTCAAGAAGAAGGTATTGGGCCCAAGATATTTTAACTTAGCCCAAAAGGTAACAAATTTTCTAGAAAAATTTGGAGGTCAATCCTCTTATATGGATTTGTTTGGATTTAATTCCATCAAGGAAATTTATTTGTTATGAAGTTTGTTTTTTGTCAATTTTACCATACTATCTCTTTCCTTTAGAAGTGAAATAAAACTAAAAATTAAAAATTCTTAAATTCTTAAATTTTAGAAGTTTGATTAATATTAAATTTTTTTTTTATCTCATATCTATCTATATTCATATATAGAAGTAACATTTAAACATAAAAAAATTGAAACATTCAATATTAATATTTTTTAAAAATAACAACAAAACCATGTTTAACAAAAATTATAACATACTAAACAATAATTATTTATCTCAAATTCAAACACAAAAAATAGTATCATTCAAATACAAAAATAGTAATATTCAAAAAAACAAATAGTAACATTGAATATTAATATTTAG